CTCGGGATGAAAAATCGGTACAGACACCAAGCGCATACACAGACACACACACACACAGTCACACACAAAGACAGACAACCCTCTCGTCAATATGCGTTTTTATGCGTTATGTGCTGTGTAACAGCAGTACAAAACGCATATTGCCACGGGTTTGTCTGTGTGTGTGCGTGTGTGTGTGTGTGCCCGCAGCAATTTGTTTGCAACTTTCAACTCGGGAACCACAAAAGCTAGGAAGCTGAAAATTTAGGGTAACGTCTCCCGCCCACGTGTGACCTCGCAAATTTCAATTCAGCCTTCCTTTGCCCGCGGTAACAAATACGGCCCCGCAAAGGTTTGGCGGGCAAAATTATCATGGGAACCACGAAAGCTAGAAGGCTGAAATTGTGTGGGCGTGTCCCCTTCCCACACGCGATCCAGAAAATTTGAATTCAGCCTTCTCCTGCCCGCGGGTAACACGAACGGCCCTGTGGAAATTTTGATGGGTAAATTATTATCTCGAGAACTACGGAATCTAGAAAGCTGAAATTTTAGAGTAATGACCCCCTGCCCACGCACGATCCTGCAAATTCAAATTCAGCATTTCCGCGCTCTCAGATATAAGCTACGGAAATTTGAAAGTTTTGGCGAGTAAATTGTTATTTCGAGAATCACGCGATCTAGGAAGCTGAAATTTTGGCGTGCCATCCCCTGCGTACTTGCAACTCCGCAAACTTTCAACATCTCCGTGGAATTTTTGGTGAGGAAAATTAGCTAGGGAGCCAGAATTGCTAGGACACTGAAAATTTCAGGAGAATATTTCCTGCCCAAGCAGGGGCTTCACAAACTCGAATTCAGTCCCTAAGTATGCCGAGGCCTCACATACGACCACGTGAAAGTCTTGTCTCAAAGATCATTCGAGAGCCAGAAAAATAGGAGGTTGAAATTTTGGAAGGATATTCACCCTTCGAGGTTTCAAATTCAGCTTTCACATGCCGGCCCCCGAAATTTTTAAATATTTTTCAGCGTTTCAATTACATTTGCACAGACTAAAGTACAAAGCAGTGAAAATCATTAACGGACAATCGTTTGGTGGACGGAATTGCACAAAACGTATGATCGCACCGGCTATTCTAGTGCGCGCTGCTATTTATCTTAAAAAATGCATAAAAATTGGCAAGAGCACTGACTGCGGCTGCGAAGATACGGTTTTTTCAGAGTTTCTCGCAACGCTTTTATCACTAAATGCTTGCTAATGGCAGTGCCTTTTCTGGCAGATACATCTGGCTTAAAGAACTGAGACTGATCACCATGATCGTCAGAAATTATTACAATGACTTCCAATCCACGTTCAAGAAATTTAGCACTCCAGTTGCTCCGATCGTGGAATTACATCAAATTTCTCGTGTTTGCCCGTGAAAAGGATGCGAGTGTTGTTTTCACGTGTGCCTGCCCAATCGCGCTCCTGGGCCATGCTCAGAAAATTTTAACACTTCAGCTGCTTTGGTTGCGGAGTTACGTTAAATTTCACGTGCTCGTAAGTGAGGAGAACGGGGAAGTTTTTATGCGTTTTTGCAGCTTTGCAGTGCGGAAAA